TCTAACGTGTACTGAACTAGGGTCATTTTGACTCCCTTCCCTTCTGCTTGCCTGCTGCTACGCCAACCTGCAGAGTCCTGTGGGAAATACCAATGTACCCATTGCATTGCCCAGCCCAGCTTCCGTACCTGCTTGCTTACAGCTACGTAACCCCGATGTAGGTTATGCATTTAAATATCCTAAAATGCTCAAGCTCAGGGCTGTTCCTTGCAGAAACAATTATGGATCCTGTGGGGAGCAGTCGCTGGCTGGCTGGCTAAATAAAGACTCTTCAATTTGCACAAAACGGGGACTCAGTGTGTTTTCTGAGCGCCTGCCCCACAACACCACAGTCCACACACCAGCTACACAGCTGTTCCTGGGCCACCCCACACCTTCCTCACTGTGGCCTTAACCCCCCGCTTTCTCATCCTGCCTCTTCCTCTCCACTGACTGGCCTGCTTCTTGCTTTATGGAGAAAACAGTGGGCAGGACACTCGTCTGTCTGCACTGTCCGTCTAACCCTTCCAACGTTGGCTCCAGAAGAGCAGAGCTTGCTCCCTGGTTGGTGCCCGAGTAGAGTCGACACTGTGGGCACTCAGGAAGTGACTGCTGCGGTGAGTGGGTGAACGCCCTCTTCCCACCTGCTGCAGGAAAAGCTGCAGGAAAAGCTGGGGAAGCGCCCAGACCAGGGTCTGCCCACCACGACTGCCCCCTGCATGAAATCATGATGACCATCAGCGTGAGAATGGCAATACTGCCATCACTGAGTGACTGTCCATCTGAATTCCCCACACACCTCTCTGCCCTTCCCACAACCCGAGCACCTCGGCTGGCCCTGCCAAAGGCAGACGGGGAAAGGCCCCAGCTGGACGGGGCCCACCCCTGCTTGTTCCCCTCCACCCAGCTGCTTGGACTAACAGGCGGCTTCAGCCACAGGGAGCACTTGCTCCCACCACCAAAGAAAAATCTCAGCACCCTGTCCACTGCCAAATCCGCTCTGCGTCTTGTGGGAGACGGAGGAGGACAGGAGACGGATACTTATTTAAAACCCCAAAGCAGCCCATATGGATCTCCAGCGCCAAGAGCCGAACAGCGGCAGACCTGGCGCGGCGCCCAAGCCCACCAGAGGTCCGTCTCCAAGTGCCTTATCATTGTCAGACTGAAGTTTGGCAGCTCGGGAAGAAAGGGGCTGCAGATGGCGAGGCTCACGCCAGGCAAGAGAGTGAGGGCCGTGGAGTGCAGGACAGGTCCACGCCCGGGCGGGCGGGGCAGGAGAAATAAGGAGGCTGGCGGCCAGGAAGGGTGACCCTGCCCCGCCCATCCCTGGGCTCCAGCCACAGCCACGCTGAGCTCCTGGGAACTCACAGGCTCGGGGCTCTCCCCACTGGCCTCCCTCCTGCCTCCTCACTCTGCTCCGACTCTCCCTCCGGCACCAGGCCCGCTCCACCCCACTGGCACTCCTGATCTTCTCCCTGCACAGCGTCCTTCTGCCACACCAGGTCTCCGTCACAGGCCACCTGCTCACAGGGGCCAAGCACTCCTTCACCCCTTTGGGGCCAGGTGCTGCATTTTTCTTCCTGCACTAACCCGCACCTGGACCTTTCCCACGTTTCTCAGCTATTGAGACAGGACCTTGGGCCTGTCCGCTGCTCTCCCTCAGGCCTAGAGCTGCCTAGAGAGAGGGACTTCTGGGGGCTGGACATCCTCTACCTGCTGCCTGGACTGCCCTTCCCTGGTGCTGCCACTGGCCACCCTGGGGCAGGACTTGGTACCTTCTCTCCTGGCTTCCCTAATCACCTTCCCTGCTTGACCTTGACATCTTGGTTTATTGGGTCCTGACCTTGGTGACCAGTGCCCTCCCTGCCTGTCTCTGCCCCTCCTGTCTTCCCCGTCTCCACCTTCAGTCTGCCACCTTTGGGGAAGAGTGTTCACAGGCCAAATCCACCGGCAGAGAGGCCCGTGTTAGTTTTTCATTGCTGTGACCCAAACACCTGACCAGAAATTTTAGCGAGGAAAAGTTCATTTGGGGTTCATAGTTCCAGAGGCTCAGCCCCCTCTGGGTCCAAGGTGAGGCAGAACATCATGGGGAAGGGTGTGGCAAGAGCACCGCTCAGCTCATGGGCGCCCGAAGCAGAGAGATAAAGGGAGGAAGGGGCTGCAGGGACCATGACCCCTCTCGGAAATCCTGAGATGGTGATGCATCAAACTGTGAGACCCGGAAATCAAAAGATGCCAGTAACATGGAGGGTCTACCCAGGCAAGCTGCTGGCCGTGGAGACAGCCAGCCCGAGACAGTGGCCACGGGATTATGCACAGCAGCAGCAGCAAGGCCCAAGGGGCGGGCCTCCCCAGCCCCGTGGAGAGCACTTACAGGCAGCCCTGTGTCCTAGAAGCTGCACAGAGACTGTGGGACCTGTGTGCCTGCTGGGTCTCAGTGTCGTTTTGGCCCTCCCTTCTTCCTATGCCCCATTCCTCCCTTTGGGGATGGAGTGTTTACTTCGAGCTACTGTATCTTGGGTATATGTAAGATGCTTTTGATATATACACCACCTGCCCCCCTTCTTCAGTCACATCCACCTGCCCACAGCGACCACCCAGTCAGCCCATTCCAACTAGGAGGGATGATGATTAGGCTGCAGCTCTCACAACCCAATCGCTTCGCCTCTGAACACCCCTGCATTAACAGGGCTCTC